TAGCTACTGCTACAACCTTTAGCTACTGCTACAACCTGTAGCTACTGCTACAACCTGTAGCTACTGCTACAACCTGTAGCTACTGCTACAACCTTTAGCTACTGCTACAACCTGTAGCTACTGCCACAACCTGTAGCTACTGCTACAACCTTTAGCTCAGTGTTTGTCAAAGTGACAGTTGTCGCTGTGTCAGCAGATGATAGACGTCCCCTTCATCAACCTTGAATTAGGTGGACTCCTAAATTAATCATCTCTCTTTTCATGTCCAGTGATTATTTATTTACATTATTAGTTACTGTAGTGTTCTTTTACACCTGTTTGTTTTATAACACTGAAAATTTTCATTTTTAATCTGGTTCTTCTTTGGATGTTACGACAGAGCTTTAAGGCCACGCTAAGAAAAAACAAAACATTACGAATGAGAATAAATTTGTAGTATTAAGATAATAAAGTCATAATATTACAAGAATAAAGTTGTAATATCAGAACTCCTACATGAATAAGCCGTCTTACAACTGCTGTAAAATGATGAATGTTGATGTCGGCAGGGGCCCAGCGCACTGTGGCATATGGACTCGTATGATAAACTGAAGCCGTATGGCATTGCAATTAATGGCTGCATTCATGCATTTAGTCGTGACATAATGTGGATGGAGGCATATTTCACAAACAGTGACCCAAAAGTGATGGTGGACTACTTGATAAACACAGTGACTCACATTGGAGGCTGTGCACAGCAGGTGCAGCCGACCCAGAAAATATTACGACTTTATTCTCATGATTCTATGACTTTTTTCTCGTAATTTCATTTTTTTTTTTCTTAGCGTGGCCCTAAAGCTCAGTAGGATCTTGCCTTTAACCCAACCTGAACAAAGGTTTGTGTCTCTTTCTCCATGCGACTGATAAAATGCTCTATTGATAACTAACAGACAGAACGTCACTTTAAAGTTGGCTGAAATGTCCCTTTAAGACCCAAGCGGAGCACAGCACCCTTTTCAGGCTGAGAAGCAGGGACTCTTATATGAACTCATTTTCCTTTAATCTTGTTTAAAATTCATAACCCAAGGGACTAAACTAAATCGTCTCTTTGCTTCAGGTTCTGGTCCTGACGGACGCGTCACCAGGAAGGATATCGAGAGCTTCGTTCCACCAAAGGCAGCTCCTGTGAGTGCAGCCCCCCCCCCCCCCCCCCCCCCCGATGAGCTGTAGTCTAACTTGAGGTTTTATTATTTTGGGTTTACACTTCCTCTAATGAAATGTGTTTGTCAGACTGCTGCTGCTCCGGCTGCTGCCCGAGCCGCTGCGCCCCCCGCCGCTGCAGCAGCTGCTCCGGCCGGCACCTTCACAGACGTCCCCATCAGCAACATCCGCCGGGTGAGAGCTCACCCCCACCCCCCCCCACCCCCCACCCCCACCCGAGCACCAACAGGCTCCTTCTGCTCAGACACCCCTGCTGCCACGTTCTGCGTCTGTCAGAGCCGGCTCCGTCAGCACGCGCCTCTGACAAATTATGGATCAACGTTTAACGTGCACGTTTTTATGTGTCCTCCAGGTCATCGCCCAGAGGTTAATGCAGTCCAAACAAACCATCCCCCACTACTACCTGTCTGTAGATGTCAGCATGGACCGGGTGCTGGAGCTGCGGACCGAGCTGAACGAGGTCAGGTCCGCTCGGTGTTCGCAGCACGGCTTAGTTCTGTGACTGATTACTCGTGCACTGACCCCGCACCCCCTCCCTCTGCAGGAGGTCAAATCCCAGAACATCAAACTCAGCGTGAACGATTTCATCATCAAGGCCAGCGCCCTGGCCTGCCTCAAGGTTCCCGAGTGCAACTCCTCGTGGCTGGACACGGTCATTCGCCAGTGAGTCCAAACGTGTGTCTGCTGCGCGGTTCTGTCAAACGGGTTAGATGTTAGTCTGAAGCTGCTGCTGATGGTTCATGTTCCTGTCGCTTCAACCCTTCTCTGCCCAAAGCAAGAAAAATAACAGCAAAATGACTTTTAACATTTTTTTATTATCTAATGACAGTTTATTTGGGTCTGTTAGAGGCGGAAACATCCAAAGTAAAGTGGTTTATAAATGTAGAACTTCTACCAGAACCCTTCAGTCCAGTTCCTTTAAAAATAACTCTGCTCTGCTGAGAGCATGGACAGAGCTCAGGACTCAGGCAGAATGTAAAACCACAAGGCATTGTGGGAGTTCATGACACGACAGTAAGACTCTTGTTTATATTTTAGCTGATTATAAAAGATAATCACTTCATCATCTCCTCCACATGTTCTTATGATCACCAACGATGACATCATGATGTTTGCAAACCTGGAAACAGAAACGATGCTGATCAGGGTTCAGGTGGAGGTCATGTGACTGAATAGAACCTCCTGCGGTGACGCCCCGACCCAAGAAACACAAAAACAACCGTTTAGTTCAGAAACGAGCTTTGTGACAAAAAGCAGCTCAACGAAAACGTAACCAAACTAAATGTTGCTCACTGTCCACGAAAAATATCTAATAACTTTGTTTAAAAAAGGTATGACTGAGCTTTAGGGCCACGCTAAGAAAAAAAATTTAAGCCATAAAATTACAAGAATAAAGTTGTACGAGACTTCTTTTTTGTTGCAGTTCTTATTTTTCCACGATTCAGATCCACGACCTGTCAATCAATCCAGTAGACATGTCAGCAAATGACCAATCCGAAGCTAAATGCTCCGTACCTGCAGAGAGCTGCTGCAGCCCATCACAGCTACCACCTTACTGTAAGCAGGTTCAAAGTCCTGGTACTGATAATAATCTGATGCTGATGTGCTAACAGATTAACTATCATACCAACCTATAACTTAACAAGATGCTCAACATTCTTCATTTTACCACAGTTTAAATGCTGTAAACCTGCTTTATCTTTGGCTTGGTCATTTGCTGACACGCCTACTGGATTGATTGACAGGTCACGTTGTGTCGTGGATCTGACTCGTGGAAAATAAACAAAACATGAGAATTGAAGAAAAAAAAAAGTCTCCTCCAACTTTATTCTTGTAATTCTATGGCTTTAAAAAAAATCTTAGCGTGGCCCTAAAGCTCTGTCGTAAAAAAAGACATTCAGGAGGAAAAACTGTTTCTGTGGTTGTTGGGTCTGTTCTGCATCCAGACTTTCCCTTGAATGTGGAAAACTAGAGGTTTTTAAAGAACCTGCTTAAAGAACTCGTTACCTTTTGAGGTTTTTTCATTTTAATTTACCTTTATTTATCCAGGTAGTCTCATTGAGCCACGAGAACTCATTTTCAAGAGAGACCTGTTTAGGGAGCAGATGGGTGTTAAGGGACCTCATGGGACCAGGGTGGGGCGAATGAGGGTGGGGGCAGGTGTGGGTGCTTCACCCACCCCACCCACATTTTTGATGTTGTCGGTACCAGGGCTTGAACCGACGATCTTCCGATCGCAGGCCCACCTTTAACCTCTGCACCACCACTCCCCATATTTGTTTAAATTTTAAAAAGTTGCCTGTTGTAACTTGTTGAAATCATTTAAAACACTTTTTTCTTTCCACCCTCTGAACTTCTTGTTTAAGTTGTTTCTGCTTTGATCTTTATGAACCAAATCCTCACTTTGTCCATCGTTTTTCTTTTAATTAATTTTATGCATTTTTGTTTTTTTGAGTGAAATTTACCTTCAAACTTTAAAAATAAAAAATAATAAAAAAAATATATAAAATTTATTTTATTATTATTTATTTTTATTTTTTTATGAAATGGGCCGGATTGAAGTCGCCCAGCCCTTGAGCCTCCAGTCAGATTAAAGTGAAGAACAAAGGTGTGGGCAGCAGCTTCACATTAGTACCAGGAGGGGGCGCTGACGGCACTTTCTCCATCACTGTGGACTTGTTGAATGTTCCCAGGAACCACGTGGTGGACATGAGCGTGGCGGTGAGCACAGCTAACGGCCTCATCACGCCCATCGTGTTCAATGCCCACGTCAAAGGCCTGGCCGCCATCAGTGCCGACGTGTCGGCCCTTGCTGCCAAAGCAAGAGACGGCAAACTGCAGCCGCACGAGTTCCAGGTGCTCTATCGTCCGGTCAGCGCACGTTTCTCACTAATGATGGAGGCGTAGATGTAACGTGCTTCTCGTTGACCTTTTCCACCAGGGAGGAACGTTCACCATCTCTAACTTGGGGATGTTTGGGATCAAGAACTTCTCTGCGATCATCAACCCTCCTCAGGCGTGCATCCTGGCCGTGGGAGGCTCCGAGAAGCGCCTGATGCCCGCTGACAACGAGAAAGGGTCGGTGGCACGGCGACAGCGCTGCAACCCGCCGCTCCACAGTCCAGCACTGACGCTGCATGCGTTTTGGGTTTCTCCAGGTTCGACGTGGCCAGCATGATGTCGGTGACGCTGAGCTGCGACCACCGGGTGGTGGACGGGGCGGTCGGCGCACAGTGGCTCGCGGAGTTCCGCAGGTTCCTGGAGAGACCCGTCACCATGTTGTTGTGACGAGACGGTGCCGCCACGGGCTGAGAGGCCTCCTACTGACGAGACGGGACCGCTCCAGACCTTCCCGCCACCAGGTCACTCCCAGATCACCTGAAGGGGAGGAGGCAGAACTCACTCCGCTTTTACCTGTCTGTCTGTCTGTCTGTCTGTCGCCCCCATTCACCATTCATCTATTTATTCTGGCCTAATCTGATGAGAAACACGTTTAATTTAATTTATCTGCAGGGGAATAAAGTCCACCTGTGAGTCTGAAACATTAAAAATGTTTTGTTAAAGTGTTACATGTTCCACCAGGATGTGTCCCATCGAGTGTGTGTGTGTGTGTGTGTGTGTGTGTGGGGGGGTTACATACTCTTCTCTTTGTGTTGAGATGAACCAGAAAGTAGGAAGTGCCATGGTTTTAAGTAAAGAGTTATAGTTTTTGTTTATTTGCAGGCAAGAACAGAGACAGTCACACAGACACACACACATTGTGTTTGTGTTAAAGCTGCCGTGTGTGTGTGTGTCGTTGGACTCGGTGCTGTATGTTTCTGTACCTGACGGTGAGCTGTCTCGTCTCCATGGAGACCATTTAACGTCCTGAGTGACGACGGCTCCTCACAACGAACTGATTCTGTCTCCAGTCCGTTTTTATTTTCTTCTCTCAGAAATCTTTGTCCTGTCGGCTGCGACGCACAAACAAACCAGATGTTCTTTGAATAAAGTCGGAGTGAACCTCGTGGTTTGGGATGCCGTCTGTAGACTTTATGGTGAGGCTCCGGATGTTCAGGTGAAACGGTTCCTGACGATGCGACCCCGACATGCAGAACAGGAGAACCTGCAGACGGCTCCAGTCGAGATCACTTCCTGCTCAGCTGGTGCTTTGACTTCATGTTGACCCAGACTAAATAAAACTGATCTGTTGGCACCGGAAACGTTTAGTTTTTTTACTGTTTCAGCTGGTTCTGGTTACCTTTGGTTCTTTCAGTATCTTCATCTTTAGGCTCCACGTCTTCCTCCTGCTTCAGTTCTGCTGGAGCTCTAACTCATCTACTGGACCCACGTAAACCAGACGTCAGTTTAAAAATGGAGACGCACGGGGAAAAGGTCAACAAATTGGCCTCATCTGCAGTAATGAGGGCGTTGCTCCCGTCTGTTGTAGTGTCAAGGAGCTGAGAAGCAAATGTCTGCATTTATTGATTCATCTCCCCCCACCACCACTGTCTGGAGATACGTGTTACTTCTGAAGTGTGGCCCAACTCAGGGAGGAGCTGCTGTTCCTCCTCGTTCTGACCCGGGCCTCCATCCCTGCCCGGGGGTCCCTCAGGAGCTGGAGAGTCACAGGTGAAAGGCCGAGCTTCAAGAAGCAGCTGAGAATGATGAATTGGGGCGGGGGGCAGTTTCTTCAGTCAAACCGGGTCCATCCAAAGAATAAGGTCCAGAGCCTGTGACCCGTTCCATCCAACAGAGAAGGTGGTGAAGAGGCGCAGCTGAAGTGCACTGGTGGAATAATACTTTCAGGTCTCTTGAAGGAAATGTCTGCAATATCCTAAAGAATCTTCTGGAGAACATTTCTGCTCAGGACCAACAACTAATGGATCTGAGCACAAGAACCAGCTGGAAAATCCTGATCTCCAAATCTGGTTTGAGTTTTCCAGGGGTGTCACCAAAGGGGTCTCAGAGGGGGACACTGGCCACCCTCAAAAAACTGAGCCATCCCACTGGCCTTTGATCAGATTTATGCCCTGGAGCTAAAATTGTTTTTAATTAGTAGAGTTGAAATGTAAATGTTTTATTTAAAATTAAAAATACAACTTTAAATTACTGTCTTTAATCGGGACAACTGGTCTAATGTCCACAACATTAAGACGCAGGGTCAGACAAAGTGGTGGCTTTAAACTTAAGAAACTTTTGTTCTGGTAAATGTTTATTTAATGTTCCCCTTCAAATTAAAGGTGTACGTTTGACTTGTAGGAAAAATGACAGAAGGTTGATGGAACAATTTATGGCGTCTAAAGATACAGAGCACGACTGGTGGAACTCTAAATGTGGCGTCCCATAAAAGAAATATTAGCCAGTTAGGTTCCAGCTGTTTTACTCAAGCGGTCGTTCTGACTGACTCACAGCTACTACCACCCAAACCAGTATAAACCAACTGGATCAAAGCCACTTGTCTGGTTTATAATGTCCATTAGCTGTGGTGGCCATTTTGAGCTGAAAGTTAACCAGTTGCAGATCAGTCCGAAGGTTCTGAGAGTTTGAGTCCAACTCGTCCCGACTGAGGTTCTGGAGATCATCTGAGCAGAAACATTATCGCCCGCAGTGACACTTCACAATAAGGTACACAACATTTGATCAGCTAATGCCTCAGGAACTAATCAGGAGTTAACAGTAGGTAATGGTCAGGTAATGTTTAAGTAATGATTGGTTCCTCGGTAAGTTCTTAGTATGATGCTTCACTACATCAGTGAACAAAATAATATCCAGTAATACTCAGTAAGTTATAGTCAGAGTTAAGATGACACCAGTACAAGATTATGAAATTACTAATCAGTGGTAAGAATCCAATAAAATCACTAGGAAACAGGTTTTTGACAGTTACGTGCAGGGTTTATTTTTTATATTTATTTATATTTATTTTTTACCCACATGGAGAATTTCTCCTCTGTTCTGTGGTAACAAACCAGTAGTCCCCTAGGCTTGGCTGTGTGTTCCCCAGTAAGTACTGGTTAACTACCCATTAGCTCCTGATTTGTTCCTGGTCGTTCCTGAGGCGTTCCCTAATAGTTAAGTAAATGTTGTGTACCTTATTGTAAAGTGTTACCTCGCCTACTTTTAACCTTTAAGTCGTGAGCAGTGGTCACTTCTTCAGACTAAATGTGGGGAACCATCTACAAAAGACAAAACTTTATATTTATTACTGAAGCAGCAACAAACTCAAAGAAAGTCTTATTGATTTGTTTATGTCCCCTCATCCTCCGTCCTGCGGTTTGGACACGAAGCATTAATGGTGTGGGACTGTCCTGCAGTCATTGTTTGTCTCTGCAGCCTCTCTGAGCAGAGACAATGTGGGGACAGAGGAGGGAGGGGACAGTCACGTCCCCCCTGCTCGATGTGTGGACGTCCTCTCTGTCAGAGATGGCTTGCTGTGGACGATGGATGGTCTGGACTCTGTGGGCCAGTTGGGCCACTCAGAACGGTGAGTCTGCTGTCTGATGAGACAAGCGTCTTCTCAGTTTGGACAATGGAGCAGCTTAGACAGGTTTGGAAGAACTTCTTCTCTACAGCGTTGAGACGTTTGAAACTGATATTTTCCAGCTCATCAGTTAAATTAAAGAGCTACGAGGAGCTTTATTTATTTATTTATTTATTTTAAAGAAAAACATTTTAACTTTAAACCTCGTCCAGTTTCTGTCCTGACGTCCTAAACCTGAACGAGCCGGTCTCTGAAACTGGACTGTTGTTCCTCTCTGTGACCGCTTTGGCTCAGTCTCAAAACTGTCAGGTTTAATTAACTCACACACACCCACACACACACACACACACACACGCACGCACGCACGCACGCACGCACGCACACACACACACACACACACACACACACACACACAGGCCTGGGGGTGTCAGAGGAGGAGTTCATTATTGCAGTAATGAATTTCAGAGCAGAACAACAAACATGTAAATAACTCTTCATGCAGAATAATAAGGGGTCCCCAAACGGTGGACCGCGGTCTGGATCTGGACCTAAATGACGTCTAATCTGGACCCAGATTGGTTGTAAATTTTAAATGACCATTAATTTGTTTTACGCAGCTGACTTGTACAGAATGTAGAAGTTCTACTGGAGCCCAGTCAGGAGAATCTGCCACGAGCAGCGTGCGAGGTTTGTTAGCACCCTAGACCATCACCTTAGATGGTGCCCATGGCCATCCAGCTGCACATGCAGGATCAAATCAGCTTCGACTCTGAGAGAGAAAAGAACTCTTTTCTAACTCAAACACATGGTTCATGGGCAGGTAACATTCTCAGCCATAGTTAAAAATCCTCCATGAACGTTGACAGGGCCATCGTGGTCCTGACACGCAGCAGGCACGGTGAATAACTTCAGGATTTAAGGAGTTGTTCCAGGTGGAGGTCCAACATGGCTGACGATGGAAGCATCTAAATTCTGGAAGTTCTCTGAGTTTTCTGGCTCTTTGTCTCCAGCTGCTCTCAGGGTGAGCATGAGGGAGTCCAGACTGGAGGTGATCCGAGGGGATTCTGTCCTCCTGCCCTGCTCCTTCTCCACCTCCTCCCACCGCCTCTCCAGACTCAACATCATCTGGACCCTGGCCCGTTTCTCCAACCCAGAGACCCCGATTCAGGTGTGACCTTCAGCCGCTCCCTGACTGACGGCTCTTCGTGGCAGCTGAAGCCCTGAGTGTTTTCTGTGTGACCTGCAGGTGATCGTGTACGAGCACAGGCAGGTGGTTGAAGACCCCTCCCTCATGGGCAGGGTGGGCTTCACAGGTACCGCATGTCCAGTTCAGACGTTTCTCCTGTTTCATGAACCTCCAGGCAGATTAGACCCCCGTGTTTCCTGTGAACCTCCTGCAGGCCTCCCTCTGAGCGCAGACATCCTCCTGAACGACAGCCGGCTGTCCGACGCCGGAGTTTACCGCTGCGTGGTCACCAACCTGCCGGAGGCCGCACATCCGGGCATCGGAGAGCTGGAGCTCAGGGTTCTGGGTATCGTCCCCTCTTCTGAAACACACCTTTGAGTTTTGTTTTTACACTTTGTCTGCAGGAGGACAAAAGTCCAACTGTCTCCGTTGTACCGGCCGGTCATATGAGGACAGAATCCTGGGATTGAGATTAACGCCTTGTGATAAAGTTATAATCTGTGGTCATGAGTGATGATGAGGACTGTCCTCACGTCTCCCAGGGAGATGAAACGAGCAGCGTTCATTTCCAGACGGAGCATGTTAGGTGAAGCTGAGCGTGGCCCGGTTCTTGTTTCAGAACCACCTTCTCTGCCGGAGTGCAAATGGGACGGAGACACTGATGTGGGGGGAAGTGTCCGGCTGTCCTGCTCCGTGGCGGAGGGCGTCCCGACTCCAGACATCCGCTGGGAGAAGCTGAACCCCGAGGAGGTTTCACTTCCTGTCAACATGGAGGGTAAGTGTCGAACCTGCAGCTCTCGGGTGCAGCGCCGGGTGGAGGGGACAGTCAGGTCCCTCGTTCATGATACTAATAAACTTTTACATCCAGTGTTTGACTCCAGAATCAAAACTAGCTTCAAAATTTATATTTGCAGTCAAAGATTGAAAATTTGAAAGATTTAATCTCAGTCCAGGTCGGAAAACACACAAAAAAAGACTTCAGGAGGCAGACATCTTGAAAACTGTGGCCATATTTTTTTTTTTTTTCCCAGACACCAGATGTTTTTAGATGAAAAGCTAAATTCAGAAGATCTGTGCCAGATATCACACTCACATCACAAACTGACAGATTATGTCTTAATCTGCAGCTTTAATCCACCAGAACTCAGTTTTATTTCTCCTCTCAGCAGATCCTTGTTGAGCAATCGTTGTTTGAAAAACCTGCCTCCTGGATTTGGGTGATGTGGAGGATTTTCCAGCATCTTGTTAAACAAAAAAACTTTTTAGGATGAAGTTCTGCAGGAGGAGACATTTGGGTCATCTTGGTTCTGAACATCAAAGTTTTCCTCTCAGAAAAAGTCTGTGGCTCGTTCCCTCTGCTCCATCCTGCCAGGTCAGCAGGATGTAAGGGGGGCGTATTAATAATCTGTGTCTCGTCTCTCAGGGGACTGGACTGGTTCGGTCCAAATCGCCAACGTGTCGTCTCAGACGTCCGGTTTGTACCGCTGCTCCGCCTCCAACGTCCTGGGAACGCAACACTGCTACGTCAGCCTGGCCGTCTACAGCCGTGAGTTTCTGGTGAACGCTCAGAGAACTCTTTCAGTTTCTGCTGCCACAAACAAAAGCCAGCGGCCATCTTTAGGCTCAATGGGATTTACCTGTATAAATAAAGGTTGATTGATCTTTGATGTGACGCCACGTGAGCGAGCTCTCTGATTGGCTAAACGATTATTAACCCTCTCTGAACTTGAGCACAACAGATGTTTGAGCTTCATTCAGTGTTTTGCTTTGACGACCTTGTGGAATTAACGGACGGGCCGCCTGTGGCCCGGGAGCCACCAGTTGACAACCACTGTTTGTGTTTCCGTCTCTGCAGCTCCAGCCCCGCCCTCGGGCCTCCTGCAGGGAGTGATGCTAACTCTGGTCATGAGCCTGGTCCTGCTGGCTCTGCTGGTTCTGGTTCTGTGGCTGCGTGGCACCGGGCAGGACGGGAGGAGGAAGGAGAGGAAGGTGGAGGAAGAGGAGGGTTACAATGAGATCCGGTACACTCCTCCTCTGATGAAACGTTCCTTCGTCTGAAGACCGTCAGGCACTGGAAAAAAGAACTTCAAGGACCAGGTGGATCCATGTGGATCCCTCTGGATCTCTGTTTGTGCAGATGAACGGCTCCTCCCCACATTTCTGTAAAAGTGTTGAACTAAATGTCCGAGCCGTGACCTCTGAACTCTTTTGTTTTAAACTTTAACACAACACTTCACTTTTATTGTGACATTTTCTCTCTTTAAGATGAGCTTTTCAAAATAAATAATCAAAACTAAAATATTCGTAATAAATGATTTTAAGGTAAAAACGACTTGTTGAAAACGAGTTCCCTTACGAGGAAATGATCAGGATGAAGAAAACGACTTTAAGTGAACAAAGTTTTCTCCAGATAGGAGCTGAGACGTATTGAGGGGAAGAAGTCTCCATTTCTAAAAAAGAACCACAACAAAAGGATAAATCATGTCATATGGACGGTTTCTTTTTGAGAAACGTTTCATCTTTCATCTGAAGGACTTCGTCAGTCTGAGACCTGCCACCAAGAACAGTCTTATAAATGCCACCTTCAGCGACATGTTTCAAACCAGTCTGCTGTGGAGTTCCCAGAAACTGGCTTTACACAAGCCAAATGGAGGACCATCAGTCTAAAACAGTGGTCCCCAAACTACGGCCCGCGGGCCAGATCCGGCCCCCGTCCACATTTGGTCCGGCCCCCTGAACAATACCAGAGAGCATTTAGATTTTTTTCATATATATGTATTTGTATTTGATAATAAAGTTGGACTTTTGCAATAAAATGTTTCTTAGTTATGAACCATTTTCATTATTAAGTAATATAATACTATAATACATAAGTTAGTAACTATTTCATACACGCATATAACGTGACATTCTGTTCCACCCTTCTGTGGTCTGTGCCCCTATCTGGCAACCCCCAGAAAAAAATTCTAAACCCACCCCTCGCAAAGAGAGAACGGAATAATGGCGAAAAGATTAGGTAAGAGAAAAATTGATTCAGAATGCAGGGCATTTAACCTGCAGTGGACAAACGATTATTTTTTTGTTCAATGCAAAGAAAAGGCTGTCTGTCTCATCTGTCAAGAGGCGGTGGCAGTATTCAAAGAATATAATCTGCGGCGACACTATGAATCCCGCCACAAAGACACGTATGCTAGCTTGCAAGGCCAAATGCGAGCAGACAAACTCTCAAAGCTAAAAAGTGGACTGTTGGCTCAGCAGAATACATTTGTACACCAAGCTCAGCTGAACCAGTCATCTGTTCGGGCCAGCTTTCGGGTTGCTCAACTGATAGCAAGCAGTGGTAAACCTTTCACTGATGGAGAGTTTGTCAAGAAATGCATGAACGCTGTCGCGGAGGAGGTGTGTCCTGAGAAGAAAGATGTCTTTAATGCCGTGAGTCTATCAGCGAGTACAATCACCAGACGGATTGAAGAAATCGGGGGTAATGTATATGCCCAGCTGCAGCAGAAGACGAAAGAATTTGAATTTTTTTTCATTAGCACTGGATGAGAGCACGTACGTGCAGGACACCGCGCAACTGCTCATTTTTGTTCGTGGAGTTAGTGCAAACTTTGAGATCTGCGAGGAGCTGGCAGCCCTCCAAAGTCTCAAAGGGACTACGACGGGGGAGGATATTTTCGGCAAAGTGTACCAAACCATGGAAGAGTTGGACCTGGACTGGTCAAAGCTGGCCAGCATCACAACTGACGGGGCTCCTAATATGGTGGGCATGTCTCGGGGTCTAATAGGACGCATGAACCGGGAGATGGAAGAACGAGGTCTCACTGCCCCGCTACAAGTCCACTGCCTAATTCACCAGCAAGCACTGTGCTGCAAAGTGTTGACTTGGGATTCTGTCATGAAGGTTGTGGTGTCATGCATAAACTTCATCAGAGCAAAGGGACTTAAACACAGGCAGTTCCAAGAATTCCTGTCTGAACTGGAATCTGCGCACGGCGATGTGCTGTACTACACAGAGGTCCGATGGTTGAGCCGGGGCAGAGTTTTGAAGCGTTTTTACGAGCTGCTACCTCAAATTAACGCATTTCTTCATTCACAAAACAAAATGGTGCCAGAGTTGATCGACCCAGAATGGAAATGGCACCTCGCATTTTTAACAGACATGACAGAAATGCTGAACAGCTTTAACTTGCAGCTACAAAGCCCGGGGAAACTCATTTGCGAAATGTATTCCCACATAAAAGCATTTGAGGTGAAACTAGAGCTGCTTTTGGGACACGTGAAAAAGCACAGCTTCGTCCATCTCCCTGCCTCACAAAACCTCTCTGCAGAGAACCCAGCGGTCCCGTTTCCAGCTGAAAAGTGTGTGGAAGCACTGTAAATGCTGAAGGCGGAGTTAGGTGCACGATTCCGTGAACTAGATGTTTATGCAAAAGAAATCCGTCTTTTCCAGGACCCCTTTGTTGCCGACATTGACGAAGCCAAGCCTTCTTATCAGTTTGAGTTGGCCGAGTTACAGAACTGTGATGTTTTGAAAGACGCGTTCAAGCCCAGCGGTCTCATTGACTTCTATGCCGCCCTCCCAAACGACACGTACCCTAACATCAGAAAACACGCAAGGAAGATGTCCACACTTTTTGGCAGCACATATATTTGCGAGCAAACCTTTTCACGCATGAAACTGCTGAAAACTCCAATGAGATCAAGATTGACAGATGAACACCTGCATCAGTGTTTGAGACTGGCAGTGACTAGAATGAAACCTGAGATTCAACTTCTCACCAGCCAGATACAGGCCCACAGTTCACACTGATGAACATACAAAGGTAAGCTCACTTTTCTGACTTGAATGAGTCATTCTGACTATAAAAAATATAATCATAATAACCCTCTCTGTCAATACCCCAGAGAGGGTTATTTATTTCATAAATAGTGTTATTTACTTCCTGAATTTTGTTCTGTGAAGAATCCAGAAAGGGTTATTTGGTTATTATTTATTTCATAAATAGTGTTATTTACTTCCTGAATTTTGTTCTGTGAAGAATCCAGAAAGGGTTATTTGATTGTGCTTTCTGGAAAACAATACATTTTTACGTTTAGGCACTCCTGCAATCGTCACACTTTTTCTGTTACAAACTGACTCCGGCCCTCCACCAGAGAAGGGAAAAGTTATGTGGCCCTCACAGGAAAAAGTTTGGGGACCCCTGGTCTAAAACCATCGATCATCAGTTCATAACGATCAAATGCTTTAGGCCCGATGGCCTAAAAAAAAAAAAAAAAAAAAAAAAAAGGAGGAACCCAATTTGTTGGAAGAAAATGATCCGTCACGATGAGAAAAACACGTCAACAATAAAGTGATTATCTTCAGGTAATGATGTAAAAACAATAAAACTCAGAATCTAGATGTAAAAGATTCAGGTCTGCAGAAAGAATTCTCATTTTAATGATTAAACTTCTCTGAATAAAGAAGCTGCCATCTTTATTTCAGATGTTTGAAATGGAAAAAGCCGTGGAGCTTTACTTTATTTTCTGAATGATCGAGACAAACATTCATAAATTATTTTTTGCTCACGTTAAATAAATGGATTTTCTCTGGAGTTTAAATGATTCAAACGATGATCCTGACCACGGCTGCTACACCTGAAGGCTTTTAGGTTTTAATTTCAAACATTAAAACACAAACACTCGAAGGGAAAACACGACACAGAACAACAAATCTTAAAACAAAGACAAAACCTTTAATTTAAACAGGAGGGGAACAACATAAAAACTGTACAGAACATTGACCTAAACTTTGTAAATAAAAGTTCTGCTTCCCAAAACGAACAAAGCGAAACAAAAAGCTGGGATGCTGAACGAAAGAAGTTTGCAGCGATTCTGCCCAAACTGCTCGTTTCAGAGGGGCTCACTCCAGAGCCCCCCAGAACCTCAGAGTCCCGTCTCTGATGAAGGAACCAAAGTCCAATAATAAAATAGATTTATTTTAAATATATATTTATATAGGAAACAAAGTTCAGTACAGAGTTTCACACGTAAAGGAATCCCTTTTTCCAACCCCCAGCTCCGCCCGTTAGCTTGTGCTTTCCTGACTCCCACAGAAAACAAGAAACCAGGAAGAACAACTTCCTGTTTGTTTGTGTACAAAATAAACAACAACCAGCACTGATCAGTAAGTTTGGTTTTCCTGAGTTCAGGGTGTTGAGGGATGCCGACACCTTACTGAAAGTTCAGGGCTGCGTAAAAAACACAAACAGTTTAAACTTGAGCTTAAATTAAAAACCAGCAGGGCGTTGATTCAAACAGACAACATGCAGGTTTTAACCCAGGAAGAAGGAAACGAGGACCGCTCGTCTCAAACCAAACCTCGAACTGTATTTTAAATAGTTTTTAAGATTAAAAAAAGGTAAGGGTAGTCAGTGGCTTACCTGCAGCAGACAAAAGGTTAGTGTGCATCAAAATGAGAATAGTTTTCATGAATGGTTCAATTAAAAAAAAAAATTCTGTGAAGATGTTTACCCTGCATCGCTGTTAAAACGTTTACTCACCTAAAAAAACAACAACACACAAACAACTCAGCTTCAAAGTTTCATTTTGAACAAAGTCTTTCTGTGGAATAAGTTTCTTTATTTCCTGTTTTTGAGTTTCTCATGGACAAAATGACTGCAGGTTGATTATTAATGCTATGGCACGATGTTGTGATGTAGACAACAGGACACACCACTGGACCGACAAAAACAAGTCGTGGGTCGGACGCTGCGTTTAGTTTTCAGTTGCACTCCGACCCACAGAACCAAAGTGTTTTTAGTTCTTCACAGTGGTCAAAAAATTAGTGCAAGAGTGGGACGAATACCATCTTGGGTGAGACTTCTCAGGAATAGTTCCAGTTGCATTATGAGCTTTAAAGATGGGTTCTGAAGGATTTGAGCGGTCAGTATCTTACCTGCAGTGGATAAAAGCTTAGTTCTGATTAAACTGCCGACTAGTCAGAGTACAACCAAGCCTTAAAAATGTCATTCAAACTGAGTTTTTACCCTTTACATTCAGGTCAGATTCACCTTACAAGAACCCCAGGCTGCAGCAGACGTTCTGCTGTTTGACTCATTAACCACAGAATTTAATGAAACTTTCAGTGAAACTGATGAGATTATAAAGGTTTATAAAAGAACGCTCACATAAATGGTAAATACATATTTGAAGTATAAGACGGCCTTGCTCAGAATAGCTCATCATTTAGGTGACACACTAACGATTTCTTCAAACTGAGGTCAGTCAGACCTGCTAATACAGGTAAGACGACTTTTCTTTAAATATTGGAACTATCCCTTTTTTTCCTTCTCATGGCCCAGCCTCAAAATTTTCCATTATGAGTTTTGACTGCCGTCTACTACAGGTTAGATACTGACTGCTTATATGTTTAAACCACCTTTGAAACAAAACTTATCCTTTAAGAATAAAGATTATCGCGGCTGAGATGATCCGGGGGTGGGGGTGGGGTGTTCTGTTAAGAGTTCAACATATCGGCGCATCGTAAAGACAAATCCTGTCAAAGATTTCTGTAAATAAATATTTCGCCTGTTGGTTTCCAACTAAAACGTTGGATTTAACGATCGCAGGACAGCAGTAGTGGTGGGTGTGAAGGTAGCAGGAGATGCAGAAGCAGTAGTACAGTAATGAAAGGGGGGGTTGGGGGGGGTACTGCATGTAAAGGAGCCCCACACAAAGCAGCTGGCTGTTTGGAGAACCAGAACCTGATCGGACCAGTCCTGACAGGGTGGTGCTGAAAAACTATTCAAGTAAAACGACATTCGACCCACTAAACTTTAAAAATGACCCCGACACCCCCAGGTCACGGGTACAACTTTCAGGCAGGACCGATCTTGATCCAAGGCACCCAGTTCTGTTGGGAATCAAGCCACACCTCCTGGTCCCAGTGGAGTCCAGACACTGTAAACCAGCAGCAACAGAACCACCTGCTGGCTCGGAGGGAGGACAGCTTCTTTCACATTCTGTGTGGAGGAGGAGACATGTTGAAGCAGAGGCTCCTGCACTTTGTCCCGTCGGCACCAAGAGGGTCCAGTAGGGACAAACAGAACAGGGCTCCTCCCGGTTCCCACACGTCCTTCACTCGTTTGTACGGGAACCCGTCGACCCGTTTGGATCGGCTTTGAAGAACCTCTGCTGAGGCTGTCCTCGTTTCTCCAGTTTAGAAAAATATCCTGAAGCAAAACGTCCCTCATGGACCTGTCGGGCCCGTCGCTGCAGTCATGACCCGACGGTCGTCCTCAGACACACGGAGCTCACTTGTGTTAAAAATCACACGTTGGTAAAACAACACCCCTCCCATGAAGATGGAGCTCAGAAGAAAACATGTTGGTTGAAATCATTTAATGGCCTGTGGAGCGTCGGCTCAGCGCTCTGTGTGTACGCAGGTTTAGTCGGTGTCTCGGTGGGACTTTGGAGAATTTATTAATCCCTGTAGCTCTGAATGAGTCCTGAAGGCTGGACTGAGTCTGGTTCTGGGTGGGCCCGGTTCAGCCCACTGTGTGCTTTCATTGTAGGAACGGTCACCAGTGCAGACTCAGCGCAGGTGATCCAGTAAAGGCAGCTCTGTGGATTCCTCTTTAGGGCTTGGGGGGTCTCCTGGAGCCAGAGGTGTTGGGTTCAGGGTCTGAGTGGCCCCCAGAGGATCTTGGGTCAGACTGGCCTCCTGTGGTGGGGCGGGCTGGAAGAGACGGGATTAAACAGGTCAAAAAACTAATCCAAGACAATGAGCAGCGCTGCAGACGATCGTCAACATTCATGTTTCTGATGAGACGAGATTATTACGAGTCGAGATCTGATCCAACACGACTAATTTCATCACAACTACCATCGAGAACTGATCGTTTTATTGCAGCAAACCCAGGATGAGAGGGCTTCAGTTTAAACCTTGAACTGTGCGTTTCTGTGGGAACTTGATTTGAGCCTGACTCTAAAGTTTCAAACAACAGTTTCAGTTCAGAGCTGGACTCAGTCTTCAGAAATAAACCAGCAGAAATCACCTGATTAAGGTCAAAACTTTTCCCAGTCTTTCAGACGCAGCTCAAGCTACAGCTGATGTTACAAATATTTCCTGTGAACGGCTCAGCTTTTGTTTATATTTGTGCAATTCTGTGAAATCTTACAGTTTATGGTCTTATTTTATTCATTACTGGGATTTTGAAGCCCTGAATGACTCCCAGAGAAAAAGCGATCTACTCCAAGTACTGCTGACGTAAAACAGAAATCATGACGTGTCTTCATTTAGTCCTCGCACCTAAAAACAACCTGATTGCAGCAGGGTGAAGCAGTTTCAGAAAAAGTTACTAAACCTTAAACATCTAAACTTTGACAGGAGTTTTATGACCCGCCTGATCACTGTGACAGAGAGAGAACACACTCCTTACCTGTGTGCGTATTGTCGGTACGGGTCCTCCTTCTGTTTCCACTGCAGCCGGGCCACCGAAGCCTTTTCTGCTTGAAAAAGTCCACTTCCCAAAGTGGCCTTCATAGTGTGTCCCGCTCCGCTGGCCCAGTCTGTGCCCTGAGGTTTCCAGCAGGGTCACTGGGCCGAAGCACTCAGCACCTGGCAGAGGGGGCGGAGCCACACAGCTGCTGAAGGACAGCTGGGAGCTGGAGAGCTGCTGGCCCAGGAGCCCCTGGATGGAGGAGGTTCTCTGTAGAGACATTAGCAGGCCTGCCTCCATTCTGCCCTCTGACTGGCTGAGTAGAGCTAATGGGAGAGGCTGAGGGTGGTGGGGCCAGCTTTGGGTTGGACCGATGGGGTTTTCTGTGCCTAAAATACAAGAAAAGTCAAATAATTTTGTTTAGTCAAACTAATACATTCGAGCAGCTGACAACGCAGTCTTGCAATTTTAACATCTGAACGTGACGACCGACTGCTCCTTGTCATCCTCATGGTGGTGCTAACTGAGGTCTTACCCATGGAGGGTTGTAAAGTGGTGATGTGGGGCTGGGGCAGGCTGGAAGCCGGTGTACTTTGGGTGGTGAGGATGGCTGGGTTGGTGGAGATGGAGGTGGAGCCGCCTCCGCAGTCAGAGTCCTCGATGTTCCCTCCGCTGTTGCAGCCGGCGCCGCATCCCTTCTGTAACCTGCACAGACACGTGCTGCAGGTAAGATCACACACTCTGATGATTCATTAAACATTTATAAACACACACCTGTCCCAGCTGCTGATGAGCCAGGTGTAAATGTTGTGTGGGCTGACTGGTCCCCCCCACACAGACCGCAGCTGACTGTGCCCCCCGGCATATGAGGTGGTGAGGGGGGACACGTATATGGGGTAGCCAATGGGCTGGTCACAGGAGGAGTTGATCATGTTCCTCAGGGCCTGCTTGGCGTTCTGAATGCTTCCACGCTCCGGGTTACGGTTCCGCAGGAAGACCAGCTCCTGCTGCTGACCCGCCCACAGCCCCCGGACACACTCTCTGTTCACCTGGAGGGGGGCAGCACAGAGACGAGCTCAGGTTCAGGTGAAATACATTTAAATAGTGACTACTACAGAGAAGAACGAGTTAAACGTGCTGTGTCCATCAGACCTTGATGACTCTGAAGCTGAGGAACCTCTTGTTGAGCATGATGATCTTGTACTCGTCACTGCCGTCATCCATGATGTGGCGCAGAGCGAGCAGAGAGGGCATGTTGGCCAGGATTGCACTGCGCCACACAGGGTCACCTTCATGTGATATCAACATCTTCTCCTCGTTGGCAGTGATGGCGTCATACAGAACCATCGGATCCTCGTACTCATCCGGAGACGTGAAGTGATCCTGGAGGAAACACAGACCATCAAGGCTGTTCCTGGATCAGTTATTGATGCGTCTTTTTACTTCTGAAACACTACCTGGTGCAGTTTGAGGGACATTCGTACTCCTGGTGCTACAACTCGATTCAGCAAGTCCATATCTGCAAACACCCACTCATCTCTGGGAGACGTGATGCGGAAGTCTCCTTTGAAGAGGGCGTGGAGGCCGTAGAGAAACGGCTCCAAGCTGTCCAAAGTAAAACAATAACCTGATTACTGGCAGCACAGGTACTGAAGGGATGAACATGCAGCATGAGCTGGAGGTCGCACCTTGCAGACATGCTGTGAGACGCCGTGCCCAGAGCTCTTCTTCCCAGGATACACAGACCAAAACACAGGTTGACGAGCGGGGAGTCTCTTTCACAAACCACTGGCTACAAGACAGACAGGAAGTCGAATAAATGACGAAACACACAACATTTAACATTCTGGGATTTGTTTCCATAACATTTTGTTTGATAATAAGCCGTGATCATGCACTAACATTATTAAAGGTCTTTGTTTAACTGAAATGTTTAAGGGGTGATTCAAAGTTTTCATCCTTTTCACAAGTGTACAAACCGCACGCTGAGGGGAGGGGGTCGAGGACTTACGCTTTCCAAAATAAAGCAGTGCTGACTGTTTTTGCCCCCCTCTGTCCCAAAGCACTGAGAGCAGGCCTCCCACACCGTGCCCCCGACCTCCCAGACTTTTGTATCTAAAATCTAACTTTGTATTAAACCAGTGTTTCCCTACCATTATCCAAGGAGGGCGTCCCGGCCTTTCAACAGAACCGAGCGCCCTGCCTACCAAATCCCCCGCTCTGCTACTTCCAGACAGGGAGCAGAGATTGTAGCAGCTCAGACCTAGCATTAGTACCACAACACTTCACCACATTACAGCATTGGCCGACATTGCTGAAGTATATTTTACTGGGATATACTTACAGTATATCCTGGTACGTATAAGGTGGAAAGCACTTCCTGGCCACATGAGTGACCCCATTGTGACTTTACTGTTAGCACTTGTGAGTTACTAATACATGCATGACAGCATTTTTGTTTGTTTATTTTATCTTCATCTATAATAAAGTAGGACTTTGTGAAGTCAACATTACTCTGTACATTTTTTGGAGGAGGGGGTGTGGGGTCTTCAAAGAGTGCATGTTATGTTTGCTTGCAAAACTGATGAAATCTGAATAACCCCTAAATATGTTCTCCTTTCATGATATAGAAAAGCTTTATCATAAGACAAAATGGACTTTATTTTGGAAGGCTAAAACTATGCTTTATGTGTATTTTGGACAAACACTAATAAACCAAAAGTGTAATAAAGACAACCCGGCCTCATGAGAGTTTACTGTAGGTGTTGTAGCAGTCTCACCGTTTGGCGCCTGCTGTTACAGTACTGGACCCAGTCCAAATAGATCAAACAGAATGAAGAGAGGGTGATGCCCGAGGCCCTGTGGTCGTAGTCTTCATCAATGTTCAGGTTGAAGGTGGGATCACTGTCCACGTAGTTGGAGCCGAGGCATGGCCGCAGAGCCTCCTGAATCATCTCGTTGGTCAACCACTCTTCAAGCTTCGAGGATCGACTCACGTAGTAAATGATGCTCTGTTGGTGCAAACGGAGCCAAATGGTTCAAACAAAAACATTTAAATCAAAGGACTGAAAAAATGGTGGAGCTTACTAAATATTTTTAAATCAGTGACCCCTGCGACGTGGAAAAGAAGAAGGGGTAAAAAAGATGGATGAATGAATAGTAATATTTTTATCTTAACAAGCAATACTTTGATGGTCCCTGTCTCTGAGGGATTTGAAAAGTTAATGTTTGTAGTTTTTGAGAAAAGAGTTTTTCTGGACTGGAATTGAACAAGGAAAATAAGTCAACCATAATGTTTTAGGTGCAAGATATTCAAGTGGGGTGGAGTTAAACTGTGAAGAACAGAGGGAGGTTGTTTTTTTCTTGTCTGAGGCAGAGCACAGTGACGGATCCTGGGAGTGGAGGGAGCAACTTTATCCACCACCAGAGCAATGGTGGCCCTGGTCACCTCACCAGCCACCTCAATCATTTAAGGAAACTATACTTTTAAACAATATAAAAGATAGAAAGCATAGTTTATTTTCTAACAAGTAGATGCAGCCTCACACCAAAATGAAATTCGGTACCTCATTTATTTTTCAAGTTATTGTGCTCACAACATGCACGGATGGACAGAGGGTATTTCCAGTTCCCCCTCTTTAACCATCTAACCACTCAGCCACAGATGCCCAAATGTGGAATGCAATGCAGCAAGCCTACAAAGTCTTAAACACGGATGCTTGATACATTTTTCTATACAATGTGTGTGTCCTAAAACAGACAATACAAAAATAAAACATTTTTAACATCAGCATCTAAACGGGCAGCATGTTAGAATCAGCCCAAATGTGACATATGGTTGTAAACTTTCACCTGTTCCAGTGTTATTACACAGTTAAAGATAGGAAAGCATGTTAGTAGAACATTATAGGCTCTCTTCAAAACAACAACTTTTAGGTGTGTCAAGATGTTATTCAACAAAAGGTTGTGTTAAGTCTTTCCTTGAGACAAAATGCCTCAGCAGCACAGAAACATGAAGTAAAAAGATGTAATCCCAGTTAAAAAGACTCATTTAATCAGCCGTACCTTGACGTAGTACGTGATGAGGATCTTACGAAGGTCAAACACTTGCAACATTGAAGCGGCGTTGTTGTCACTGATGCTGTAACCCTCCAGGACGTATTTGGTGGCAGCCACCTCCCAGGCCAGCCAGCGCTGTCCAAACGCAGCATTGAAGGATAACATGTGGGGCAGATGACCAGGTTCACAGCAGCAGCAGCCCTCATCCTCCTCCACCCCCTCTGTAATGGCCTCTACCTCCCTCTGTTGACAGTACGTACCTAAACAGAAGTCAGACTTCAGGGTCTGAGACTTTTCTTTATATACGACGTATCAGAATCAATAAAACTACAGTTGAGAGGAAACAAAAAATTGAATAATTTACTGAAGTAGGCAAAAGTATTCTGAACCAAATGGTAACAAATACTGAGTAACTTTGACTCAAGGTTTTATAGTTCCTGACCTCTGAACTCTAGACCCCTCAGCTGGAATGTGACGAGGCCATTTCCTATCTCGACGATGTGAACCAGAGCGTTGAGGTAGTCTGACGCGAGGATGAAGCAGTCGCCTGTGCTGTAGTTGCCCCAGCGCCCGAGCAGCAGGTCCCCACACAGGCTGTGCTGCAGAGAGCGGGTCAGGTGCTCGTAGAAAATAGAGTTCAAATTGTTGTCGTCAGCACCTTTAGGGAAAAAAAACCCAGCAAGACCATCAGTGGCTGCAAACTAAAGGGATGATGAACAGAAACCATGATATGTGAAAGAACAAACCTGGGTTACGGTCCAACTGGGTGGCGAGTCTTGTGTTAGAATGATCGACCCGTTTGGTGCTGCAAAATCATAAATAAATTCTGTCAGCGCTAAACACAAATCCTTTTGGTTCACATTGTAGAAGCACGTGTACTTTTATCAAACACATACTTGTAGTCTCGTTCCCAGAACTTGACAGGTCTGGTGTACGAGGTGATAAACACAGCGCTGCCTAGAACCGGATTGAGAGGTGTGGAAAAGATGGCAGAAAAAACAGCCTGGACAAAAAGCACGGCGGAGTCTGAAGAAACACGAGTTAAGGACAAATCAGGAAGAAAAAAATTTTTTTACTTCAAGAATCCTGCAGCAAAAGTAGCTTGAAATGATTAGTTGAAGTCTGGACTCGACCTGCAGTTTGCAGATGGCCTCTAAGGATGCTTTATACTTCAAATTCAAACATTTTTCTTTAATGCTGTCACAAATTCAGACAAACCAAAGGATACGAGGAACAGCAAAAGGTTGTGCAAAAGCATGAAAGGCCGAGCCCCAGGTGATCTGCCACGGGGCGATGTACGTCAACACAAAGCGTAGCTTGTACAGGAGGTCCCACATCTGAAAGAACCAAAAATAAATCAAAGTCACGCTTACAGACACACTGAGGAAGAAACGACCATTATCTCCTTCATGCATAACAAAGTGTCTCTGAAGGAGACTGTATCTAAACTGTCATGCAGATGAAAAATGTTCTGACCTTGCTGAAGAGAATGGACATGAAGTAGTAGTCGATTAGGAACGTCTCTGAAAAGTGTGGATAGTCGAAGTGAAAGAAGAGGGTGGTGAAGCACAGCATGACGTACTGCTGCGACGGCGTGCAGAAGGACGAACGCAGCAGCTTCATGCCTGCCACGGAGATGAAGAGAGCTCGGCTGCTGCAGAAAGACACGGAGACAGGAAGGACATCAGGGACATGATGACATACGCTGGTTGTGGACTTTCAGTCAGTCATCCAGGACATGCCAAATAAAATAAAAAATAAAAAATAAAAAAAATAAACTAGATTTCCTCATTGATTTGACAAAAGCCCAGTTAGGATGTCCACAGGTTTGGAGGACGGCTCTGATGTGTCCTTGTTCCTTTGTCCATCTCTTCTGTCCTCGTGGGAACATGTTTGGCCCGAAGGCATTGAGTTCTGTTTGTGTTCCAGTAAGTGGTGAGACTCAAACACAAGGATGTCCAAACTTTTTCACATGTGAGCCACAACTGTCAAGATGAAAGAACTCACGGGCCACAAAAATACATATTTTTTAAAAGGGTACACATTTTTTGTTTAATAATTTAGGTGGAGATGTTCTAAACTGTTGTATTTCTTTAAAAAAAATATTATTTGGTTTGTTGGGTCTGTTTTATGTTTTCTTGTGCTTGGAAAGTTAAATTTAGTCTATTCTCAGAAACAAAAGCATAATATGAGTAACTGATAGAATTATGTACTGGGGTTGAATGACTACATCATTTTTAAACTCGACATTAACATAATAAAACTCGAGTAGAACTCGAATAGTTGATGACGTCATAGGATCTCAAGATGAAAAAATAAATAAATAAAACCGAAAAAAAACCCGTCATTTACTATTTACAAAAAAAAAAAAAAGACCAAAAAAACATCAGGAGAGTATATTATACTCCTACCATTTATCATACTGCAAATAAGTCACAGGAAAAACTAAACTATTATTTATTATTATTAAGCTGCAAAAGTGAAAGAAATAACGTGCATCACGTCAAAAACGAAACTAAAAACAGTGGGGCGGACGATCACCCCGCACCACCGCCAGCTGTGCTGCGTATTAGGTTTAGTTTTAGAGATTAATATGTTTATAGTTTTTTTTAATAAGTTTAGAGATTAATAGACCATAGATGAGATGAGATGAGATTGGGTTGTGACCGAAAGAATGAGATCTCGGATACAAGCGGTTGAAATGAGTTTCCTCCACAGGGTGTCTGGGCTCTCCCTTAGAGATAGGGTGAGAAGCTCGATCATCCAGGAGAGACTCAGAGTAGAGCCGCTGCTTCTCCACGTCAAGAGGAGCCAGTTGAGGTGGCTTGGGCATCTGTTAAGGATGCCTTCTGGACGGCTCCCTGGTGAGGTGTTCCGGACACGTCCCACCGGGAGGAGACTCCGATGAAGACCCAGGACACGCTGGAGGGACTATGTTTCTCGGCTGGCCTGGGAACGCCTCGGGATTCCCCCGGAAGAGCTGGCCCAAGTGGCTGGGGAGAGGGAAGTCTGGGCCTCCCTACTTAGGCTGCTACCCCCGCGACCCGACCCCGGATAAGCGGAAGAAAATGGATGGATGGATGGATGGATAGAGATTAATATTTTTTACTTTTAGTTTGTGGAACAAGGTCAACGGAAGCTGGTTCTGGTTCGGTCATTGGACCCGGTGTTACACCATATTCTGTGACCTGCAACAGTGCATGCAACACTGCTCCATATGGTCACAATATACTGTGGTCACAAAAAATGGTACAAAACCGAGCTCCAAACAGTCAGGAAGTTGATTTATTTTCCGTTTCCTTAAGGTAGTTGAACCAGAAGATTCATCTTTAGTGAAATATTTCCATACTATTGATGCATTTCTACCTGTTTGCCAAGACTGGGCCTGCTCCGCTCCATCTGTCTGATGGGAGGAATGCATTTGGTAGCTTCTACTAGTAGCCCGGTGCGGATCACGTGACACAATGACGTCACTGCGAATAATCGACGTGAAATTTAAAACTCGATAGATGTCCTAGGAATCGACCTGTCGATTACTCAAGTAGTCTGTTAAAGCCCTATTATGTACCAGTATATCATAAGGGACTTTTCCTTTTCCCTATCGTCAGTTTGTTTTTATTAAGTTAAAGCTTGTAAGTCTATAGATCCTAGTGAGAAAAACACCAAGTCACTGTTAACTTTCCTTTACATTTTAACTAAACAAAAACATACTTTTCAGCCAGTCAGCTAAAACTATGAAGTGTTTAAGCCAGCTGGTTGGAACGTATAGTAGCCGCAGATTGGGTTGGATTTTGAAGGATGACGTTCGTTTGGATGTGAGGGCAACGTACTCTCTCCTTCCAAGTATTTTAAATACATTTTTGTCAAACTTCATCCTGGACTCTTGAGTATTTCTGAGAACTTTCTCAACAATAACTGTTCTTTAAAAACAGTCATTAAAAAGGGGGTTGATTACTCTTTTAAACGATGGACGGCACAGATTCTTGGTTTCCTGTAAACCTCAATGTTGAGGCTTCCATCTTTTTCCACCAAATGGTCCAGAAAAAATGCAGCTTGTTGTCGTTGGCGTCCTCTTTGGTGAACTTGCTGTGTTGTCCACAGAGTCGATGTGTCTGCTGAATGCCTACACTTCTTTAGTTTGACCCAGTTACCTTCCACATATCAGAACCAGTGGCTCTGTGTTGTTCCCTTGAAGGAGTCCAGGACTCTTTGTTCCACCTCCTCTGTGTCTGCCACAATTGGTAAGACTGGAGATCCCATGGCACAATCATGCTAGTCTGTAAAAACTGTTGATGTTTGAAATAAGTGGTCGAACGAGGTCCAGCACGGTGCCTTGCAAAAGTATTCGGCCCCCTTGAACTTTTCAACCTTTTGCCACATTTCAGGCTTCAAAACATAAAGATATAAGATTTTAATTTTTTGTGAAGATTCAACAACAAGTGGGACACAATCGTGAAGTGGAATGAAATTTATTGGATGTGTCAAACTTTTTTAACAAATAAAAAACTGAAAAGTGGGGCATGCAATATTATTCCCCCCCCCCCCCTTGCGTTAATACTTTGTAGCGCCGCCTTTTGCTGCAGTTACAGCTGCAAGTCTCTTGGGGTATGTCTCTATCAGTTTGGCACATGGAGAGACTGAAATTCTTGCCCATTCTTCCTGCAAAACAGCTCGAGCTCAACGAGGTTGGATGGAGAGCGTTTGTGAACAGCAGTCTTCAGCTCTTTCCACAGATTCTCGATTGGATTCAGGTCTGGACTTTGACTTGGCCATTTCAACACCTGGATACATTTATTTGTGAACCATTCCATTGTAGATTTGACTTTATGTTTTGGATCATTGTCTTGTTGGAAGATAAATCTCCGTCCCAGTCTCAGGTCTCTTGCAGACTCAAACAGGTTTTCTTCCAGAATGGTCCTATATTTGGCCCCATCCATCTTCCCATCAATTCTGACCATGTTCCCTGTCCCTGCTGATGAAAAGCAGGCCCAGAGGACTTCCGGTTTGAACGTCACCGTGATGGCCACGCTGTGAACGGGCTCCCGAGAGAACCTAAGAAATTGAAAATCCAACCCCATTAAAACGACGAAAACATATCCATAAAGGTGAAAAAGAACTGGGGTGAGCGAAATACTTCTAAAACCGATGCTTGGTAGTACCAAAAAGCAGACGTTTAAAACTGAGAAAATATTGCTAACATTTTGGCTATTGCTAACCGCTATCCATCTCTGCCTTGAATAATTACAGCTGCACTTTTTGACCTGAGCTAAGCAACCAACAGTGGTACTATGACTGAATGGGAGACGGTATTGCAGGAATTAAGAGGCTTCCAACTGGAAAATAATGCGCATTTGGTGGAAATCAAAGAAGAAATTCGAAAGATGAACGTCAGACTTGACGAGGTGGAGGGTCGGATTGAAAAATCGGAGGAGGATTTTAACCACTTAGGATGCCGTCACTGAAATAATAAAGCTACAAATAAAGCTTGAGGATAAACTAATGGACCTAGAGAGTCGTACACAAAGAGGGAACATACGCATTTATGGCGTACCCGAGGCGGCAGAACGGGACTTGACAACAATGGGTGACTTTGTGGAGAAGTTGCTCCGTGAGGGCTTGGCGCTGTCCCAAGAAGAGCTCGACATGCACATTGAACGGGCGCACCGCTCTCTAGGCCCCCCCCCCAGCGATGCTCCACTGCATTCTATTATTGTGAAATTCCTAAGTTTTAAAACCAAAGAACTCCTCCTCCACAAGGCATGGCAGAAAAGAGGATTCACCTGGAACGGCAAGCAAGTGAGTTTGGATCATGACTATCCCCCTTTGATTTTGAAAAAACGAAAAGAATGTGCAGAAGTGCGCAAGATTCTGAAGGAACAGCAGATCCCTTTTCAGACCCTCTTCCCAGCCCGGTTGAGGGTGAAATATGCCGATGAAACAAAGATTTACAACACGGTGGTGGAAGCTACCAAAGACATGTCCAGCAGAGGCTACGCTGTGCGGGTCGTTAAGTCACCAGAAACGGTCCTGGAACAGCTGAAGCAGCTGTCTTGGAGCAGGGTACGTAGAGGACCGGGGAGCGGTGCAGCAAACAAGAGGCGGGACCCCGCAGCCGGCTACAAAGAAAAGCTCAGAGCCTTCAAGAGGACATCTCCCGCACACACGGAAAATTGAGGTTTATCCACTCTGTTATCAATAATTAAGACTTGCATATGGTTAATGATGTACAATAAGTAAATAAATTAGGTTTCTCGCGGTGCTCTCTACACTGAGGCCATAGCCACTAAGGGCCCCCTTCATTAACCGATGAGGAAGCTGCCTTTGGAGGTGAAGCAGGGTCCACCTCTGAGACCCCCACCTTGGAAGTTAAGAGTTCAGTTTGAGTCTTGTTTGTTCTTAATGTTGACTTTTTTTATATGTTCTATGTTCAGTGTTTTCAAGAGCGAGTGGGGAGCCCATTAATCTATGTGTTATAATTAGGAAATATAATTTAGATGAGTGGCAGGTTGATAAAATTGGTGTCAAACAATATTAATGGTTTACATAATCCAGTAAAAAGGTGGAAAGTCTCAACTAAATTTAAAAGAGAAAGCTCAAATTGTTTTATTGCAGGAAATGCATCTATCTGATAACGAACATGTTAAATTTAACAGG